TAGTGGTGAAAGTTTTTTTGCGTATTGAAGTCAAAGTCTTTAATGCAGTCTGACTTCCGGTTTCCGTATTGGTGTCGAAGGGAAAATGTTGGTGTCTTTAGTTTTGTTACCGGTGAACTGCAGTTTTCGTGTTCCCTTTTTTCGGATTATTAACCGGATCAGTTGGAAAAACTGCATCTTGCGGTGTGAAGAAATACATATCTACCGTTTTTCTCAGAACGGTTCCAAGATATTTTATTTTGTTTGTCTTCAAACAGACGATTCATGAAAACAACAACTTATTTTTGAAACGATAGCTCATGGCATTCTCTCTAATAGGTGAACGCAGAAATTCTTATGACTTGTGCTAATAGATTTGGAGCGAGCTAAAAGGCAAAGCGTATGAGAATTTATAGTTTCTCACTGTCCAGAATTTGTTTTTTCTCTTCATCTAAACAACAATCACATTTCGCAGACCTTTCATTCTTTCCGACTATTTTCGAACTGAAAATGCTCACTTTATTGAGAGGATGGTATTCAGAAATGAGTTTTTGTGCATATGATTTGATTTGGATAGTAAATGTGTTTTTTTTAAAGTGCTTAAAGCGGTATGAAAGTGCGAAACTACCACATCTGATACATCTTTTCTTTTGGCTTACTCCAAATCTATTAGCACAAACCAAGAGAATCTTTTATTTTGACTATTGTACCGAATATCACGACGAATAATTTGAAAAAATTTAAGATTTTATCATGTACATTTGTGGAGATATATGGAGAATAAATTATGTTGCAAACACTCCGAGACATCTAGTATCTCTGTTACATTCTCTCGCAAATGAAGATTTCTTCATGTTTTCCATAATTCCTCTCCTATCAATCTTCTGTATAATTCGGCTGAAAGGATCCTCAAACGGCTGAAACTTGCACTATATTCTGTTGCAATCTGTTGATAAGGATGATAATGCCTGTACGTGGATGAAACATAAATGAATGAAGAAGAAGAAAGACGGCATTCTTTGATTCATCTAGCGATTTAATGCAGCTCTTCGATCCCCACAGGAAAATTTGTCGTAATCTATTCAAGTTTTTAGGTATTGAAAGATGTAATAACAAGTCGAAATTTTCTCAGGAACAATGTATTTTCTTTTGAATTCTCAGGATTCTAATGATTTTACACAACAATTCCACATAAATTGAATAAGGTTTATATCATGCATCCCGTGCAATTCCTACACTTCTAAAATAGCGATCGTAACATAAGAATCAAAAAGAAGATATCCGAATGCTATTTCTGTGTTTGAGAATACTGAATAGGTTTTCCGAGCTTTTTTTAGGAAACGCAAGGGTTTTCTGAAAATTCGAAAACCCTGAAGGGTTTTCAATAGATGTTCGGAAACCATGCTCAATTTTTCGGAAACGCTTCCACCGTTTCTGATGCTCGGAAACCAAAAAAGTTTTCGATAAAAAAATTATCGGAAACGCAAAGGTTTTTGAGAAGGTTTTTAAATCAGAGAAGGTTTCCGGGGATAACTTTCGGTTTTCAAAAAGAGTACCAGGGTTTCTGAGAATACGTTTGAGGGTTTGCGGACCTATATTTCGAAAACCCATAGGTTTCCGGATACTCGGAAACCCTGAAGGTATTTTCAGAAACTTAACATGAGTCCAGAAACCTTTCCGATACGTTCAAGGGTTTTGGAAAGTGTTTTCGAAGGGGTTTCGGTTTCTGAGAAAACGCTTTTTTTTTAGAGTGTAGGAAGGGTATATTATTCGTTGCACTTTCATAAACCCTTTAGGGTATATGAGCTGTAATATACCCTTAAAGGGTTTATTAACTTCATAAACCCTTCGGAAAAGCGTTTATTAATATACCATTTAGAAGAAATCGTAGAATAAAAAACCCTTTTCCGAAGGGTTTATGAAGTTAATAAACCCTTTAAGGGTATATTACAGATCATATACCCTAAAGGGTTTATGAAAGTGCAACGAATAATATACCCTTCCTAGGGTTTATGAAGGAAAAGGATATATGAAAGCGTTTATAAGGCTAATAAACCCTTTTGAAGGGTTTATTATTCTACGCCTATTTTTTACAGTGATTGTCTGTGTTCAACCTTTCTCATTCAATTGCTTCGAACATATCAGAGAAAAGAATGTGGCGATGCAGCGATGAAGCAGTAGCTTTTTGACCCGCTCTATGTGTGCCTAGCATCCAACTTTATTTCATGAAGCTGTCTTGAAAATCTTATACATTATATGTAAAACTAAGAATAATTTGATTTATTAACATAGCTTCTGGTTAATTTGCTGTTTTCAGCTCTAAGCCATGATGCTTTTTCAACCATGAATTCATTTATCTTATTCGAGTAGTTAACACGCTATTGTGATCATTCAATAAATAGATTGATTGAAAGAAAAGAAACTTTTTACTGGATGCTATAATTAGGCGGTACATTACATTAGTTGGTTAAAAAGTTTTTTTTCCAAAACTTCCATAGAGAAATGATGCCATCCATTATGTTTCGGATAGCACTGCATTATTTATATACAATCAAAGATAGCTCTCTACACAAACAACGTACGAGACCCAGTTGAATTTTTACATGTAGTGTTCCATAATATGCAGATAACCAAGACTAATTTAATCTTCATTAACAACCTCTTGTATTTCTCTACCTCACATGTAAATGGATTGTCTGGATAAGAATTTGGATGCAAACGCTTGGTCTCTATCATGTATTACTAATAGCTCCGCCTCTTAATGCAAGAATACCAACCCGAACCGTTTCATCTGAACTCTGAATTCGAGTTCTGCCTCGCTGAATGCCTAATACTAATCCACTTTTTCTATATTTTCTTACTAATGAAAATAATTTTATATGTCTGTTGACTATGAAAAGAAGAGTTTACCTGGTTTTTTAAAAGAGTCATGGCGAAGGACGTGAAAGATAAAAAGAAAAAGCGATAACGAACAAAGTTATTTATTCGGTGAGAATGTCAGAACAAACGGGCAGAAAAACGAATAGTATTTTTTTAATATTTATATTCTTTCTGACATTGTCAAGCTTTCATCTGCCCAATGGCTTTAGTAATAATGCACTGAGTATACTCTCTCTCCTTCCTTGAGTTTTGCATCAACACAATTCATCATAATTTTTTCATAGACTTTTCATGGGTTTGTTCTTGCTCTCCCTTGTATTAGATTGCTGTTTAAGCATTCAAAGTTGATAGAACAAGAACAAAAAATACATCATTACTTCAATTTTGTCATTATACATGGCAACACTTAATGTACGCCGCACTTTACTCTCCTATTTTCTTCGCTTCAAACTGCGTCTCCCTGATAGTGGTGACCTTGACAGTGTGGGTGTCTCTTTTTCTTCTCTTGTGTGAGCATCATATAACAGAGAACGAAACAAATAAAACAACTTTCTGCGCATTTTATTTGGTTGGACTTTCATGATTACAGAAAAAAGAACTCTTATTCTCATGTACGTCACTTACTGATGTTCATTTCAGAGTTAAATGGCTGTTGGCATTTTTTGAATAACTTTTGATAGCAACAAGACAGCGATCTGCGGCACTAGTACAATTCGTCGCACGACACTTCGTCGCATACACTTCGTCGCAGAACAATTTGTCGCGTCCTGTTCGTCGCAGAATTTTTTTTCGCTCTGTTCGTCCCTATTTACTTGTTGCACCTCTCTTAAGGGGACCCCCCCTTTCCCGAGCCAAAAAGTTTTTTTTTCGATTTTTTTTTTCATATAGAGGTGTATCAAGGTCTCCTCTATGTGTGCTATAAAAATCAGAACCATCCAAGGTCGGGAAGTCTGTGAAAAAACAGGTTTTTTGGAGACATGTGCAACAAAATAAAATTTTTTTTTTAACATAAAGTTATATTATGATATGGTATACCTATACTTACGTATAAGCGGAAAAAAAAATTTTTCTACAAGTTTTTTTTATTTTGCATTTTTCTCGAAACTAGTTTTTTGGGTATCAAAAACCAGTTTTCCCCCTTTTTCTCCGCCATTTCAAGTCCGATCGGGCTGAAAATATTTTTGGTGAGACTTCAAGTGATTTGGGTTGGCCGTTTTTTTTCTTTTTTTTTGGATACCTTCTACCAATCAAGTTTGGCAGGTTTCGCAAAATTTTCAGGATCCAAAAAACCTAGAGATTTTGTGAAGTGCTCAGTATTTTGGTTCTCCAACCTGAAGTGTTTGGAATTTTTGAAAAAAAAGTGGCCACCCCGATTGGGTCCGTCTACCCACAGTAAAAATTTCAGCTCAAACGGATGAAATCTGTGGATTTGCGGGGGGGAAAACTTTTTGCAAGTTTTTGACCTTGGAGTCTCTGGAAGTCCATGAAGATGACGTCTGGCAAATTTGTGTCTATGACAACTTTTGCTCTACTACTCGAGGTCTATCTACCCTGAAAGTTCCAGGAATTTTCGTTCGGCCGTTTCTTAGAAACGCCGGAAAGGGGAGGTCCCATTAATGAATTATTTTTTTCTGTAATCAATGGAAATAATATAAAATAAATGATAAATTGCAAGAGAGATATGTACAATAACGATGGATAATTAATTGGGAAAACTGATCAATAAAAAATATTATTCTAATGCAGTCGTGATAGAGCTAAAGCGAACGAAGAATAATTAGATTTGTCACTTAGTTAATGAATTGCAACATAATCTAAACTAAAGATAACACTGATCCAATGTCCTTAATTATGGGATCAGATCAAATAAAAAAAAATACATTTCACTTCTCAATTTCAACTTTCACTGCACAGTACTTTTCAAGAAAAATGTCTCAAATGAAAAACTCTTTTCTGTAAAAGGAAAACCAATGATTCTCCATGAAGGTTACATCTATACTGTATAGAGCATACAACAACCACGAAATTGATATTTCGATGTCAAAATCGAGATTGTAAAGGTAAGTTCACTTTGAACATCAATCAATTAATTCAAATGAAAATCATTTATCAATTAAGCTCGTACTCATACCAATTTATCCATGGACGCATTTCTCGCACAACCGACATCACATTCCCATGCTCCACAACCCGATCGTGTTCCGGCTATCCAATTAAAAAATGATATTAAAGTTCATGCTGTGATAATAGATGAACCAACCAGTGCAATTCTTCATTCGGCCTTACGTACATATCCACTAAACGCCGCTGGTGAACTTCCAAGCAATGAAGCACCTATGCTAATGATTCGAAGACAACTTACTGTTGAAACAGTCGACGTCGATGGTCGTTTACCAGAAAAATTAAGAAAGACCTATCGTGATGAAGATTTCATCTTGCACGAAGACAAGAATTTAATTATATTTACAACAAAAACTAACTTATCTATTCTCAAGCAAAACAAACATTGGTTCGCTGATGGAACATTCAAAGTAAACTATCAATTGAATGTGTCTCTTTTTCTTTTCTAACTTTCGTTCATGTAGGTGTGTCCCGACGATTATTATGAACTCTTCACATTATATGCGATGGTGACCAATGCAATTATTACTCTCGTCTATGGGTTATTAATTGGTAAAAGCTCTCAAGATTACAATTTATTCTTCGAAAAAGTGTTAGCGCAAGACAACTTCCAACCTGAATCAATTATGACTGATTTCGAAACTGGCACAATCAAATCAGTGAAAGATATGTTGCCAAACGTTGTACGCAAAGGTACGTTTTAATCTATTCATTAAAAAAAAGTAATTAAAACGTTTTTTCTAGGTTGTCTCTCTCATTTTTCACAAGCGGTATGGCGACAAGTTCAAAGCAAAGGATTAACAACTAAATATAATGAAGATGAGTATTTTTGTTTAAATATAAAAAATTGATTGCTCTTGCTTGTGTCCCACTAGATCAAGTTATAACTGGCTTCGACTTAATTTGTGATCAATTCGACGATGACGCCGACGATTTACTTGATTATTTTGAAAAATCATGGATTGGTGAAAAAAGAGGAAGAGGTAATTTTTTTCTCTATTCTTGAGAAACTCTAAATATACTCGACTTTCTAAGGAACTGGTCGAAAGAAACCCCAATTCGATCATAAATGATGGTATGTTTATGATCATGTCATCGCTACGGTACCACGATCCAATAATTCGGTGGAAGGCTGGCACAATGCATTCGCTAATCGCGTCGCAATAAGTCACCCAAATATAGTGAAACTGGCAGAGAGAATTCGTCGTGAACAATCAAAATTTGAAGTGGACATGGCGAAGATTCTCCAAGGTCACAATATTAAGACGAAGAAGGCCTGCTACCGAAGATTGGACCAACGTATTACTCGACTGGTCAACGGATTCGACGCATCTCAACTGAATCAATTCTTAAAAAATATGGCAGCCAACGTTACTCTTGAGGTATTTTTTTCTTTAAATTATTTTTTTTTGCTTTAGATTATTTTCTTCTCTTGTTTGTTTTTTTTCTTTTTTTTCTCAATTTGTCATCAATTTTATATCTTTCAATAATAAAAGAATTAATTAAGAGAGATGCAACGAATAGACAGTAGTGAGTATAGCAAAAGATATTTTTCTGCGACGAATTGTTCTGCGACGAATTGTTCTGCGACGAAGTGATCGGTCACCGAGATCTGCGGTTTTCACCGTTGGAAAGAGCAGATGAAGATGCATCGAATTATATATAGACAGATTTTCTAACTACTTTTCTAAAGGTTTAGTCGAACGTTTTCAAAGAATTGATTTTTTCTCCTACGCTAAAAAAGTGGCTTTTCTATCAAAATACTACAAAAATTTACATTTTTCGATTATTTTGTTCACAAAATGAAATGGTAATTTGTGTTCCGATGATTTGGATATCATAGTGGTAATAGTTAGGAACAGCGTCTTGATATAGTTTTGTAGCCTGTCCTTTGGCTATTCTAGGGCACTCCTGAAAATCAATAAATTAATATCGTGACCATGAGAAGCATGCTGTTTTTCTTGAAGTTTTATGTAAAACCTATAGAAAAGTCGTTAGAAAAAATCTTTTCGTATGTAATTTGATACGTCTTCATCTGATCTTCCCAACGGTGAAAACCGGAGATCTCTATTTCGTTCCTATCAAAAGTTATTCAAAAAATACCCACGGCTAGGGATGTGCAGTTTCAGTATACTGACCACCGATAAAATCACACTGACGTTCACTGGTTCGCTGATGACACTGACACTGCGCGCACTGTCTGCAGTGACACACTGACACTGACCGCACTGTCTGCAGT